TTATTCTGACGCGTCTGGAAACTGATGTGAAATAACAGCACCTAGGCCATATGCTGAAGCGTCTGCTGCTACGATGATCGGCATGGATGGGTCGTAGTGTGTTAATAACAATTCCCAGCTAATTATAGACTTGAGTTTACCGAAAGCCGCGTCACACTCTTTAGTCCAGTTCCATGTGCTATGCTTCTGCAGTAGACAATTCAATGGAGCGCGAATATCATGCATCGAGGGAACAAAAGCTGAATAGTAACTGATTAAACCGAGAAAAGATCGTAATTCGGAAACATTAGTGGGAGTGGGCATCAGTTTGATAGCTCGGATGTTTTCAGGATCCGGTCTGCGACCGTCGTCATCAAAGATGAATCCCAAATACTTTACGGACTGCAATAAAAACTGGCATTTTTCTGGGCGTAACCGGAAACCACTGTCACTGATGCGTTGTACTACCAATGTCGTGCGTTCCCGTAGCTGTTCTAACGTCTTCGCAACAATCAAGATATCATCGAGATAAGCTGCAACCCCTGAGATATCTGACAGGATAGTATCCATTAGTTGTTGGAAGATAGATGGGGCAGTCTTAACTCCAAAAGGTAGACGGTTATACTGGAACAAACCACGATGAGTGTTGATAGTAAGCAGCTCTTTAGATGCTTCATCGACTTCCACTTGCAAATAAGCATCAGCTAGGTCAAGCTTTGCGAAGAACTTTCCCCCATTTAGCATAGTGAACAGATCTGCTGGGACTGGCAGAGGATAACGATGCTGTTCTAGAGCTGCGTTGAGACCTGTAGAGAAGTCAGCACATATACGTATCGTGCCGTTGGCCTTCTTGATAACGACTATAGGTGCTGCCCAACTGGAGTAAGAAACGGGAGTAATAACTCCTTGTCGTTGAAGGCGATCCAGCTCTTCATCTACTGTTGCTACTGTTGCATAAGTTACAGGTCTCTTTGGACGAAAAGCAGGCTTAGCCCCATGTTTCAATCGAAGTGTTGCTTTCATAGCAGTGCACCGACCCAATCCAGGTTCAAAAATGGTTGAAAACTCTGTCATCAGCTTCTTCGTATATGATTCAGGGTCATGTGGTTGTGATACCAGGAGTTATATGGTATTTAGCGGGACATCAGCCAATTTTAGCTGGTCAAACCAATCTAAACCAAGTAAATTAAGATCGTTTGGTGTTATATAACATATCCCAGTAAATGACGAGTCTCGGAAGGCAACTTTACATTCCAATTGTCCTAACAGACGAAGGTAATTACCACATGCTGTACGAGGCTTCTGTGTTGTGTGCTGCAGGCTTGGGCTACCCAATTTGGTCCAATTTTTGCGTGAGAGGATAGTGACATCAGATGCAGTATCTATTTGCAATCTACACAAATGCCCGTTAATATTAAGAGTAATAAATTTCCTCTCACCTGGTGATGAGCTTTGGCAGGAAGATATTAGGCTCAATGCATTGGTACTGGATCTAGGAACAGGCTTCTTAGTAATTTTGGATCACTTTGGCTTTTTCTGTAGGCAAAAGCCATCTTTATGACCGATGACTTGACACTTCCTGCATCTATGCTGCCTAAATGGGCAGTTCCGTACATAGTGCCATGAGCCGCAGTGCCAGCAAGCAGAAGGTGGATTCATTTTGGGTTTTTGGGCAGAATTGGAGCGGGATGAACTCGGTGTAGCATGGGCAGACTTGTTATGATAAGGTGGCTGCTGTACCAAATGAATTTCAGATCGGCTTGAACTACCACTCTGAACTATAGTCGAGTCTCTTTGTAGGTTAGTGAGACGTTGGTACTCATGAGCCATATCATCAAGCGTAAGCTTCGGATCTTGCTCCAAACGACTTAGTAGCCTTGTTCTAATATCACTGAACTTACTCGACTGGAGGCTGCATATGAGTATAAGGGCTATGAACTGATCTTCCGACAAAGACTTCAACCGAAAGCGTTCGCATTCACGGTTGACGATGCCCACATGCGTAAGAAAGTCATCATCTTCGTTCATAATTAGCTTCAAACATCGATATCGAGTATTAAACAGTGACGAGTTATCGCCAAAATGTTGGCTTAAAGTCTGAACAAGCTCAGAAAATGAACAATCTCGTGGGTTCAAAGGCAGGATCAAATTGCAGTACTTATCCAGCTCACTTGCGCCCAACTTTCGAAGTAGCAGCCGAACCTTCCAAGCATCATCTTGGTTGGCGAAATCAAATTTAAATAAATCTTCATAACGCCGGAACCACATGTCAAAAGTGACATTTGCATCAGGACCATAATGAAATTCAGCTACGCTATTTGCGATGCCGTCGACCGATGGAGCTGTGGTTGCATTAGATGAGCTCGGCTGTGTGGGCTGTGTGTTAAAGACACATTATAATCGGATCTAAATTGTCAGAACAGATTAAAAATCTGTAATTTTTTAATATGAAAAACAATAGTTTATTGATATGTTTAATACGATGTGATACATATTTTTAGAAGAAATACTAAACGAAATATATAAACACCGAGTGGCTTAGTCGAAATTTGTATCGTTTTAAGTTAGCCTACTTTATATGAATATTGGGAAGTTATGAAGTAAAAAATAAAACAACAGGGAAAATAATAATATCAGCAGTTGTACAAAAACGTACAGAGAACCAGTTGAAGTGAACAATCAGCGATAGTCCAATGTAAACTGTTAAAAGGAAGGCGAAACTGAATATATATTGAGATTAATGCTGACAATTTCAAAGTATATCATTGTGTATCTTCAATCATGGATCACAGTCACCATGTATACCCAACTGATACGCTCAAGCTGTTACAAATTCACCTTACTCAACTCAGTCAACGGAACGAAGATCAATGATTTAGTGACACGATAGGCTATTCTAATCCGATCGTCACAGGCCCCACTAACTAGAGGAGGAAGTTTTAATCAGACGTAGAGAAATGTATTCCACGGGAACCCAGAAAGTTCATAAACCTGTCTTCTTACTGTTAGGGTATTTATCCAATATCCTAAGAGAATTATTGGTCAATTCCTATTGATTAATTCCTACTGGTCAATTTTATGGTCGTCCTAGATATCAATGTCACGTGCTCCAATGTGGTTCCTTATCGGTTGTCCTGACTATCGATGTCATAGACTTCGATGCTGTTCCTATTCGACCAAAATGTATAAATACTCATTATCTGTAACGTTTTATGGCCAGGACCAGGACCCGGATCCCTAGTCCGGGATCCTGATTCTCTTCTGGACTCGGACCTCGTACTTTCTGGATGTTTGTAGAATACAGGTTCTACCCCACATTCAAGTCTTCTTATTTTCACTCAATATGGGGGTTTGGATAATCGGATTTGAGTAGCATGTCTTATCGCCGGATCCTCGCTCTCGTAATGGTCCAAGCATATCAAGTTGACGTGTTTACGTGTATGCGTAACACTTACCCATTCGACTGTGGGTGGTATGGTGGTGAGCGCAAGTTTTTGATGGCTAGCCGTTAACAGAAAGCTTGGAATTGGCTGGAGGTAGACTGCGAACTATTGTCAAACACAGGACTTTAGTCTCCTTCCTATCAGGATTTCTGCTGGGGACTTTCGCTCCGGTGGCAACCCATTTGGTGTTGTTCGATAAACATACAAGAAATTTTATAACGCTTCAGCGGGTGTTCCCCTCCTTTTGACCTAAGCAATGCTCTTTTAAACGTATCCACAGCCCGATGCATCCGAGTAATGCATCAACACCAGTAAAGACAAAGTCGGGAAGGCATTCCACGTATGAAGTGGGATGTCCTGTGTTTGCCCGTGACTACATAAAAAACCATGGTCCTTGGATAGAAGTGTGAGTGGTCAGAAGATTTGGGCGTTATGTACGAAGTAGAGGTAAGAGGCGATAGATGGTCACGCCGTCGAAACCATATACGCAAACGGCTAGCCCCAGATCGCCCATCAATAGGAGCAAATCTTCCCCTTGACATCATGCTAGATAACTTCAACTTACCGGCAGCCCCATCTCGAGAAAAAGGCCATCTGAGGGTGACATGAAGCAGCTGTATCAGCGACGGGACTCACTATGCATCGTAAACGACTGTTTGATGTTGGGCGAAAGAGTGGTAGTGCCATAATCCCTTCGTACAAAAGTGCTGAGACAGTTCCATTTTGGTCATCCAGGGGTTAGACGAATGAAGTCCATAGCCAGAAGTTATGCATACTGGCCTCTCATGGATCAACATATCACCGAGTTGGTTGGAAAACGCATGCGGTTTCAGCAACCGGCAAAGGTGAATGCCTAAGTTCCGCCGGTTCATGATCATAACCTGATCACCCTTGGTCCAGGATACACGTCGACTTCGCGAGGCCGGTTAATGGAACTATGTATTCAGTTGTGGTCGACACCCTTCCAAAATTACCAGAAATCAACGACAACTAAAACGATACAGCTCCTCTCTAAAATTTTTTCCCGAAATGGCATACCGGATGTGAATGTATCTTCACAACGGTTCGCATTCTACCTCCAGCCAATTCCAAGCTTTCTGTCAAGAACTTACACTTGCCACCATACCACCCACAGTCGAATGGGTAAGCAGAAAGGTTTGTGAACTTCCTGGGTTCCTGTGGAATACATTTCTCTACGTCTGATCAAAACTTCTTCCTCTAGTTAGTGGGGCCTGTGACGATCGGATTAGAATAGCCTATCGTGTCACTGAATCATTGATCTTCATTCCGTTTATCGAAAAAGGTGAACTTGTAATATGTCTAGAATATCACCAACTCAAACCCAGAAGTCTGTTATACATTATATACAATATATATATTGGTTCAATCGCTATTAGTCTCTTTTTAATCAACTCCTACCTTTGTTTATATAAGATATTCAAGTAGACAGTGGTTGGAACAAATGAAAAAGAATTGTAAGAAACAATCGTGCGTTGAAAAGAATGAGGACAAAAGTAGGTAAACAATACGTTTGGTGGAATGTAAGTAAGTAATGAAAGTCTGTAAAGAAATAAAATATTAGTTAATTACATATATACCCTTTTCTACTTGGTCACATATTGTTTTTATTTGATTATTAAAGAATTCGTAATTAAACGGTTGGTTTGGAGCATAAAAGGGATTTTTCAAAACGAAATCTGTATACGCTTCGTACACCCTGCGGAGAGCCTCACGAGAAGCAACTGGTATTTTGATATCAGTAACAAGTAAAAATTTAACACGGGTATGGGTTTCTAAACAATGAACACGGCAGGATTCTGTTTCCAAAGTTTGGATACCGGAATTCCAAACTCGTGGAGCTTTTTTATCATTAACCGGAACAATGAAGTTAGATTTGGAATCAGGAATTGGAGAGAGAAGTCGAGCCATTGAGTGTAACGGGTGGAACATACTAGCAAGGTGAATACGGTCATTCGGACGTAGTCGAGGGCTCCCAAATTTGATTGTCAGTGGGAAGTTGTCTTTATCTGAAAAAACCTACAAACAGAAAATCACTCGTTATCAGTTGCTTAAACGGTAAACCCTAGCATAGAAAAAAAGAAATCATTAGAAATTATAGCTGGTAGTAAACTTGAAAATAGCTAACAAAAACCCAGATCATATCAATACTTACCTACTAGTCTTCATCTATCAGTACCATAAACATTAGAGTTCAGGATTTTAAATTGTTTTTAAGTCAATTAGCAGTATATTCTCTAAATATTTAGAAGATATATCGATAGTGCATTTAATTTGATCTCAGGTTAGTGTTAATAAAATGACTGTTTTGAAGTTAAGGAACTATTTTAGGTCATTAAAAGCACCCAGAATGATGACTAAACATATGAGAAGAATGAACGAAAATTGGATAGAACTGGAAATGGAAGCCCAGGACAGAATTGGTAGGAGAAAACTGGTGGGCGGCCTATGCTCCATTGGGGGTAACAGGCGTAAGTAAGTAAGAATGATGGCTAGTTACTTCACAACTATGGTTCCAGTGAACTAAGCTGGTTGAAATTTTTGACGCTTTTTAGTGGGTAGGTAATATGTCGCAGAATAGTTAATTGTACTTTCTGAAGGTTCAGGGAACAGTAAGTGCAAGGAAGATAACGGTAGGCAGTATAAAAATAAAGAAAACTAAAAAATGCATACTTTCTGACATAGTGACGGTCCTCTTTTACTTATTTAAACATACAAATTGGTATAAAGGGGCACCTAAATATTTGTGCACTAAACAACTAATTGAATTTGTCTTATACTGTCCAGGTGCTTAAACCGAATTAGGTGATTTGTTTAGGGGGTCACTTACCAAAGGAGTGGAGCAACCGCAGGAGATGCAGTGCCACGGTAACCGGTGACCAGCAATAGGTCCATACATCACTTGTTCCTAAAGGATCCTGTGAATCGTTGGCTTGGAATAATGGTTTTCTAACTCCCGTGAGTGGGACGTTCGTAACCACCAGCCCGATTTAGGCTTTCGACATTCGCTTTTCGTCCTCTCCATTTCGTAAACAACACTTCCAAAGAGGAAAAGACAACGAGGACTTACCTGCCAAATGCTATATATGCATGACCATATGAGAGCATTTTAAGGGAGCAGACTCCCTTCACTCTCAGATGTCCCAGGGTATTTGGGGGCTGAAGTATTTGGTGCATAATATAAAACTTCAGTATAATATTTAAATGGCTATTGGCCACCTAGGGCATTTGAAAGTGAGTACTTATTATTTTAGTATTTTAGATAGTAGGTGACACCAGAAAACTTTGAATAACAATGACAGAAATTGTGATATCAGTTAAAAATATGTCGTTCATGTTCGGAACTACTGTATAGAACGTAGTCGTATAACTGTCAAAGATTGTACCTTCCAGTGAGTATAAATGAGAGGGTACTAGTATTCAATAGTCGGTGTCTTAAGAGAATTGCCAGACATACTGAGACCGCCCAGTAAGCAATGCTGGTGTCTGTGACTGAAAGAGTACCGAAGAAGTACATTCAGTTATACAGGGGCTCTACTCGAACACTACTGGTCGAGTCAGCACTAATGGCGAAATGTCATCGGAACTGATTACCTCAAATGGCGTTCGTCAGTGCTGTCCACATCCTCCATTCTTGTTATCCACATGCTTTTAGAGATAACATTATCTTCGTCCGACTTTTCAGGGGTGGACCTTTAGCCAGGTGACTCGCTTGTTGACTTAGAATATGCCAATGATATATTTCTACTTGATGAAGACGCTGAAAAAGTGGGAGCATTTTGAGAGGAAGAGCTGACTGTCTCACCCTCAGACAAACCATGGCATTTAGGAGCCTCTTCGGTGAAGGGACGCAAATGTTTTAATCTTATTCGAGTTGAAAGCTAAATACGACAATAAAAACAACCAAGGTAAGTCTCCGACTGAATTCCTAAAATATGAGACGTTATAACCTTTTGCTGAATCGAAAATTCATCTTGTTGTTTATGATTTGAGTTACGAGACCTGAATCATATTGCTTATCACTATGAGTAGCGAAATAGGTATACAAACAAACTGAGTATCTCCAGACATAAGGGCACTTTTAAGAAACCAGTTGAAACTACTTGCTTTCCGTATTATCTTGAACTTAGATTTACATCTAAATTATTTCAAAACATGAATGACCAAATTGTTCATATTTTGGCTTATCCAAGATCATTATTAAGTTAATTTGACCCTACTACACAAAATAAATGGATGCTGAAACTACTCACCTTTAAAATATTCCTGTTATCCTCCAAAGATGTGCCTTTAGACAATACACCGTCCACAGAAATGACAGTATACCCTGTTTTTACGTCATCACATGCACCGAAATCTATAACAACACGACCGTCCTCAACTTTAAAATGGAATGGTAATGGGAATTCGTATTTCTTTTCTACTTCCACGTTTACGTCAGAATGGTCATAATAAAACTGAAGTGAACCAGATTCACTTATCACGTATATAGAAAAAACACTCATTTTTGTGCTAAACTTGACTTAGATCTAAAGAATCAAGCACGCCAGGAGTGGAGGCATGTACATATAATCCAATCCAATATCTTTTTTACGAGCTAGTGTAAACCAATTGATTTGTGTGCGCTCGATTCTTGTTCTTTCGGTGCGGTTCCAGGTGTTTGGTACCAGACCTGAGATATAAATTTCAGGTTAACTGTCGGTCTAGCCGAAGATTAGTCGAATGTTTTTGGGAAACTCCGATTTTATTATTCGTCAGGGTTCGAAGGTGCTACGTTTCAGAGACCACGACCTTGAACGCCAATATTCAATAGATTTGGCACGAGTTAGGATAAACCAATTGATTTATTTGCGCTCGATTCTCGTTCTTTCGGTACGGTTCCAGGTGTTTGGCCTAGCCACTCGACTGTCTAATTGTAGTCATTTGGCAACTGTTCGTGATTTGAACGAAAACGTTTGTTTCAGGGCTTTAGCTATCACATTACCAGCAGCTATGACCATTACCAGGCCGCAGATCAGTTAGTTGCAATACTGAGAATAATAAGGAGAAAATTATAATGCTTTTTGCAGATTAATTTATTACATACATTCACCCATGCAGACAGAATTGAGAACGGAAAGCCTATAAGCAAAGCGAAGCGAACTGGAGGAGGCGAATGAGCCGACTCTCCGTGTGCTGAAGAATGACTAAGTATTTATAGTCAAGCAATAATAGGTTAGACATGTAATAAGCAAGTAACCATGCAGACACAATCAAATATACTATAATCGATACTGTAATCGAATTATTATATATATAAACAATGGTCGATACATTTATCGAATAATTTAAACCAGAAATCAATTAAGTACAATTAATGAATGGTGAAATGCTACATGCGAATATGCAGAAGATTTCAGAACTAAAAATATAAATAGTTAATTTAGTTTGCTAATTGGTACTGAAGATTGTGCGAGAGGACCGAACTGTAAGCAAAGGGGAGGAAACTGAGATAATAAGCAAAATAAGTTAGGTGTGATCTGAAAAGATGGCAGTAAAAACAACTAGTAGGTCTCAAGACGTGTACCACGCACAGTTTGTACAAGAGGGAAATGATAATCCGTATGCGAGTTCTTGTTTATCAGGTCTGTTGTTGAGGCTGTCCACTGAGAGGGTTGCGCCTACCTCGGCTGGGAGAGGATTCCAAGTTGCAACGACTCGTAACTAGAAAAAGTGTGCACCAACCTGAGTATTCGCTCCTTGACGCACTATTTTTTGGGGATCACCTCAAGGGGAGTGATGGTGATGCAACGGTAGGGTGCTCATGTCGGGAAGGTTTGGCGTGCTTCATATGTTGTACGCCACATTCAGATCACCTCTGATCCTCCTTTAACTCAATGGGAATAATCCCGAGTAATGGAGCCTATCTTCGTAAGTTTTATTCTTCAACCCTACGACCCATTTCGCGGCCCGTCTCTGCAGTCGACATTCTGAACCTCAAGGTGTGGGCGCGCATATGTATTAAACAACGTTAAGAATAATTGTGGGGTGACAGCACCACGTCGCCTTCGCATGAAGTGAAGAGTTGCACTATTCTTGGCTGCATCCACTGCATAGTTAGTACTGGTGTGAAGGCTTCCAGTGGTTATTAATCCAAGATCGCGCTCTGATATGACGTTAGGGAGCGGACTTCCATTGAGGGTGTAAATCGTTTGCGTCATGTGGGGCTGTATGTATATGACGTGACCCTTCGGTTGGTTTAGTTTGAAACCGTTTTTCACTGCCCATTCCTCAGTGAATGTAGGGTCCTTTTGAGGCTCAGCAGAATCCTCTTCGCTTCTAAGGGACCTCCAGATCTTTGCATCGTCTGAGTAGATCAATACCGTGGAGCGAATATCAGGAAGAGAAATAGACCTAATATGGTCCTCTGTGAAATTTCCGATTTTGAGACTCACCAGCTCGTGTGCACTCTATTCACCTTGCCACGAAACTTTCTATTCTCAAGGTAGTTTCTGAGCCAATAAAGGAGTGGGCTAGTGAGGCCCATTTCCGCAACCTCTTCGATTAGGCATGAGTGGGGCACTGTGTGTAAGGCTCTCTTAAAACCTATAAACATCATGTATTTTTTAGCTCAAGCAGGATGTCCAACTGTCTCATGCTATGAGAAAATTGGATGCGCACAACCTGCCTTTCTGAAACCCGTGTTGAACTTCATGGAGCGTTTTATTTTTATCCATGTATTCCCTCATTTGTTCGTACATCAGCCCTTCCATTACCTTTGATAGTATTGGTAGAAATACCATTGGTCTGTAACAGCCTGGGTCTTTTCTATTTCCTCCTTTGAAGATCGGAGAGAGTAGCTTATTTCCATTCGGCTCGGAGTTGGTGTGAATTCAGTTTATCGCTGGACAGGTCATATATCGGTAAACAGAGGGCTTTTGCACATTGTTCCAAGACTATGGAGTGGTTTACCTGGGCGTAGGGATTTGAGTTTCCTTAGAACTAATTCAGGAATAATACAGATGTTCCCTAAGCCGTCAGCTGGCTCTGGGTTTGCCTAGTATCATGAAGATGTGGATGTAAGATCCATTTTGGAAGGCTTTGTTTGTGAAAATCCCTCCATGTATACGTTTGTAAAGATGTCCTTATTGATTCCTTCAGTTCTACATCTTCTTAATCTGTTCGATTCCGTTTTGAGATGGTAACATTTGCATTTTTTGATAGTTTCTATTTTTTGTGCCTTTACTAGGTTTCTATGTTTCCTTCCGAACAGCATTATGTTGTTTAAGTTGATACTTAATTATGGCGACAGCCATATCGAACTTGACCCTCTGGTGGTTGATACGCTCATCTTGAATTTAAGTGTGCCATTTGGATCGGAAGTTGGAGCACCCTTCCAGAATTGGAAACACTGTGTTATATGAGAGATTTATTTGAATAAGTGAAGGAATAACGCAGTGATATTGTTTAGGTAATGATGTATATTTACATTTATGATTAGTGATAGAACCGTTACTTATCCAGATCACTGTTTTCGGATGACAGCTGGGAAAGGCGAGTGTCTAAACTTCCTGAGCAGTTACTCCTTATGTAGAATCCACAGTGGATTCTAATTTCGGAAAAACGTCTATAAGTTAAGATAGGCACCTTGTCCAGTTAATCCCCAAAGAAAGCAATTTATCTGCGTAAGTAACGGTTCTATTATTAATCAATAAAGGAAATACAGATAATTACGTAAACAATATTATACTGTTTTCCGTCCAAAATAACACAGTGTGTTTCCTATTCTGGAATAATGCTTCGGTTACAATCCAAATTCCACCCTTCCAGTCCAGATGCATGTTTTACCCGTCAAGGTATGAAATCCGATACGACTGTAGCCATAATTAAGTATCGACATAATACGGCGCATTAGGAAACATAGAACCTTAGGATGCCTATTCTAATTTTATCTACTGGTCTTTTAAGAAGTAGGATTCTGAGGAGTGTCGTCTTGGTTTCTGTGTTGTAGACCCAACGGAGGTGTTTGGGTAGAGTGATCCGAGTTGTAGACATTGCTCCGAGGCACGTTGTCGAGTGACGTTTTGAGCTTTTTCACAACTCCATCGACTCACCAATAATTAAGGAGTTCATACCTATACTGGTTTTCCTAGTTGTTATAGTGTAAGAAGTGGTAGCAACCTTATTACTTCACATGATACGTGAGAGATTTAGGGATGAGAAACGAGATAAATGAGAGAGGAAAATACACAAAATAGGAGTTTTGAAGGTAGGAATTCAGTAGTATATCAATAAAACTAGGAAAGAATGGAACCTGGAAGTACTCCGAAATTGCTTGTAGAGAGAATCATTATGGAGAGCGTGTAGTGGTATACTTTTACGAGGAAAACACAATTGCTAAAATATAAACATTTATTATTGTGCTTAGTTCTGAAAATAATTGTTATATTGTACACCTTTTGTTTATTTGTACAAAAGACTGTCTCTCGCTCGCCAAGCCTGTTATTCCCATTCCGTTTCTTTGCACTTCTCCTGCGTGGACCTTAGCCGTATGTACGCCCTCTAGCCTCGATATTATTTCGATTTCATGTTAAATATACTTCTTCCTCTAGATTCGTCTTTTATCTGATTCTTAGAGTAACGGGGTTAACATTCGCTAAAAGCGGCCAGTGCAGAATGAAATAGTCACTATGCCTGAAGGTGCTAGGCTTCAAAAATACCTACCTGACTAATAGAACTCTGCAGATAGCCTGGGCAAGATCCGAGAAAAAAAATAGGAACAAAGGGTCAACAGATAAAAGAATCAGAACGAGAAATTAAGGAGCGAGGTTAATATAAGCAAACCAACGAGTTCAGAAGAGTCTTGTGGTTGATAGTGAGAAAAATGACGAAGATCCATCCTTTTTGTACCACTAATAAAACAATAAAACTGTCATATCTCAAATCATAAAGTTGTTATTTCAATTCCGTCATTTGCCCACTGTGTTCGCTTTTGGCCAGATGAGACTGCTACCGCTCATTTTACTTGCATTTTCGGTTCTTCTTAGTGTTTTACCTTATTTCAAGTATTTGGTGTGTATCCTTAAAAGATTCAGTCAATTGGTGAAGGTGCTTATTCATATGTAGGACGCTAATGATTACTATTGGTAATACACCTATGTGTATTTCAATGATCTAACGCAATAGTAAAAATCCTAATCTAAGTAGGACTTCGACGTGACGCAAGGAAGAACTGGAATTCAAAACACGCAGTGTGAATATGTATCGCATTGTTACGTCAAATTTAAACACAGTACATAGTTTTTAATTCTACAATAAACATATTTACAATGTACTACAGCATGATTTGGTCTAAAATAATTAGTGTTACACTGAGGATACTTTGGACAGAACATGAGCGGGTAGTGCTGGTTTTTAGAGTAATTCCGGTATGAGATTGTGAAGATAAACAAGTGTTGAAAGACATTATTTCTTAACAAAGGCAGAGATAGACAGAGTTATGATTCGCAAGCCTAATCTCTAGCGGAGGAGAAGCATCTAATATGGGCTCTCGTCGTATCCCTACTCTGGATGACGCAGTAGCTCTAGGTGGTTAGACTTAAGGTTGTCGGTATCAATGTGAAACGTATCTGAAGCTTTTTATTATAGGAATCCATGTATTTCTTTGACACTTAACTCCCGTAGACTTTCGTCAACTAGCATTGTATGCAGTATCATAGGGATTTTTAAGTGAGACTATACTTTATGGGTGACTTTCGAGCTATGCCAAAGTGATCTGGAGAATATTTTGGGTTTGAATAATGGAAGTTGAAGGTTTGAACAGATTTTTCCAAATAATGTTGGGGAACGAACAAACTGTTTAAATTGTTTTTCGTTTCATATAATCATAACCGAGTTAAAGTTTAGTTAAGTCTTATTGTAAGAGTATTCGCATTTGTCTGAGTCTTAAGCCGGATAGAACAAGGAGGATTTGATACTGTATATCTTAGATACTAAAATGCGGGTAGTTTAAGTTTTCCATGATGTGCTCAGTTTTGTCTGTGTAATTTTTTCTCACTTTTAGAGCGGATGCACTTACATTAGATGATTCATATCATCAACAGATGATATTTCAGAGTATGTGCGTCATGAAAAACGCGCGTCTTACGAGCTGGAAGTATGTAGCAGTGTTGGGATCATGCACGATGTTAATAATGTAAATGTTCTCTTGTCATTGCATGGGGACTAAAGGTGAATGTACTGAAAGAAGAACATACCCTGTGTAAACTGAATTTACCGAATGACTTATGAGACTATTATTTAAATAAGCTTTCTTTTTGTACTAAGACCGCGTAATTCACTTGTTAAAAACTATACTCCGCTGGCTGCCACTTCGTGTTCTCCCTTTTTGTGAAGTCCCTGAATAATGTTGTATGCCATGGTTTCAGGTATTATCTGCCTGTTGTCAAACTGTGATGACACGTGTTGTAGGTACTGTATAATATATATTTGTGCCTCCCAAGCTTTTTATGTGTTCTGACTCAACAGATGTGTTAAAATTTTAGAGTCACTAAAATTAATAGCAACCTATGGTTTTTACTTTGGTTCACTATTTGGTTTACATGTTTTTTTTGCGTTGAGTCTAGCTTTAGTTTATTCTATGTCTTTATACTGCCCGTTTTACCCACAGGCATAAATTTTATTCCAGTTTAGTTAATAAATTTATTTTACACTGGTCACCAAAATCATCTGCAAGCGATCTGGTTACCGTTTTACTGTCATCTCAGGTACTGGGCGTGATGTATACATAAGATGGTTCCACGAAACATGCACCAGCTACTTACATTATACTCAGTAAATCAGATCTCCAGTGAACACGCAATATGCGCATTATAAATGCTGAGGGTATACTGAGTAACTTCATCAGTCATCCGATTTGTATACGTCAAGAATTGTCAAGAACTGTGAAAAATTCCAGGGATGGGTGTGCAAACAAAGGTCGGTCAGTCAGTTACAGCGTAGAACTTCGTACGTAAGTACATCAGTTCAAGTTGCCATAACACATTAGCACAGAGATATAATAGTCCATTCAAATCCCATACTAGTAGAGGTAGTAAAAGTATCAGAAGTAATCGGGGAGATTAGGGTTCGACGATGTTATTCAAGAAGTATGATTCAGTGAGGTAAATTTAATCCATCATAGGAACTCTGTATGATGTCGGCTGGCTTCTCAGGCACGCCGTAGTGTCGAAGAAGCCTCCAGTGTCATCCTGTCCGCGCTGTCGAATGCTTTCTCATAGTCAATGAAGTTGATGTAGAGTGGTGAGTTTCATTCAATTGTTTGCTCCGCAATGATCCGTAATGTTACAATTCGGTTGGTACACGACTGATCCTTATGAAATCCAGCTTGTTGATCTCGAAGTTGTGCGTCTACACAGTCCTTCATTCTGTTTAGCAATATCCCGTTGAAAACTTTGCATGGTATTGAGAGAAGAGTGATGCCCCTGTAGTTCTCACACTTGCTGAGATCGCCTTTCTTTGGTATTTTGATCAGGTATCCTTCTTTTCAGTCTTTCGGTACTTGTTTCTCATCTTAAATCTTGTTGAAGAGAATGTGAAGTATTTTTGGGGCTGCTTCCACGTCTGCTTTGATTGCCTCTGCTGGAATGTTGTCTCGTCTCGCTGCTTTGCATTTTTGGTTTGTCTGACGGCCGTGTTGATCTCTTCAATTGTTGGCAGGCCAACATTGTTTTGGGAGGTCCATGGATGCCTCTTCAATGTTGGGTAGGTTCAGTGAGGCTGGTCATTCTAAGAGATCGTCAAAGTGCCCCACACACCTGTTTCGCTGTTCTTCACTGTTGCTGATTACTTTACCTTTCTTGCTTTTCACTGGTCGTTCTGGTTTACGATAGTTTCCAGCTCTCCTGAAGCTATTCTTAGTTGCCCAACCTGCATTCAATGCGTTTCACTGCTTCCAAGTATCTCCAGGTTGTATCTTTTCATCTCCGCAGCAATTTGGAATAGTCTTCCTGTCTCCCACAATATTCGAACACTCCATGTGTCTAAAAGAATGGTTGCTGTGGTTTTTTAGAAGGGGCATCGGCCTCGTAACTTTCGAACGAACTCGGTTTTCATCACGGGACGTCATAATTCTTGTGAATGAAGACCTAACTCCCAGGGCAGAGTTAAAATGGTTTGAATTATGTTTTCTGGTTGGCGTTTTTTTAGCGAATTAATTTTCTATGGGATGGGGTTTTCAACTCCAAGCTCAACCCCCCTCCTTTATCCGGGTTTGGGACCGGCAGTAGCCACGAAGGGGCTCTAGGCGGAGTTACTCATTACAGTATCTCATTATAATTTACTGAAACTTCTCTTTTACCGTTGAATATACTTCGGTTCCTTCTTGGAGGCATCGGTGATCTGTTGCTACTAAATACAAAAGCCCCTCAAGCGAAATCTTTTTTCATTCCATCCACAACCATTTGAGCCATTTGACTACACTTTTATTGTCGTCAGTTATTGCTGCCAGCCGTCATTCGTAGTATCGGTAAGGATCGTCCCTCCCCTCTAAAAAATTGTTGTTTACATATACCACGTTAAATACTGGAATATAGATGCAAATATGTACTTAGGATTATCTGGAAATCATTTTACACTGATCATTCCAGATTTATGGGTTTTTTTTGACTGGAGTTTTCGTTTTATCAATCATCTGATTTGCGTAACTTCTGAAATCAAAATCGGAAATTAGTTATACAAAGTGTTTCGAATAGACATTGACGTTATTTCAGACAGAATCTTAACATTTTCTAACGATATTCCTATATATATTTGTGTATTTATCACTTTGTAGGATACACAGTGATCCTATATGATAAATGAATAGATGACAATATTGAAAAACTTTTATGTATCGAATATAATTCATTTCGAATGCATGCATGTGACATTTAGATATAACAAAATACTAATTAGCTTTAAATTCAACTAATTCTGTCCATAAACAATCTGACTGATCATCTACTAACTCTGTATTGATAGATATTTGTACAAAACTTGTTTGTATGCATATATTGTGTTTACTGTTGTAATTTTGGTAGCTTCAGACAGTTATTTTTACAAAAATTGTGATTAATAATGATGCTTGCTCTATTTAAAGGGTGTTTTTACATTTATGGAGCTTAAATATTATTATGTTCTATGGATAATAATCCATCAACTGATATTGAGTTATCTCTTTGTAAAGACATAGATTATTTTGTAATCATCCAGTTAACAGACATTAATCATCCTGTACATCAGTGATAAAGATTAGGTTTCGGCACTTCTGAGAGTATTGATTGTTACCATTGGTTTTTCATTACATAGACAAACATAATAAGTGACTGCCTTAATGCAGATAACTGAAACAGAAACCTCATAATTAACAGTAGGAGTATGGACATGGATTTGCATGTTTTATTGTCGAACATTGAAATAAACCAATGTTAGTTTATAAAATCTGCTGATTAATTCTTTTCGAACCATCCTCGTCGTCCCCTAACCTTTTTACTGGTTGATTCTGATGTTACCAGTGTTTGCATACCACATTAATTCAAACCAAATGAGACGTAGCCTCCAACATTTTCCCAATGACTTACAGCTTCCATGTTTTTCCCTGTTTGTCTATACATCCCGTTTACTCGCAAATTTAAATAAAATGTATGGCTATTAACTCTTTATTAGTAAAAGACAGCTTAAAAGTTCATGTGTATTTACACAAATACATTGTACCGTTCTTGATATTATCATACATGTCTTTTCCGATGCAGTGAATTTCTCTAAATAATAAGGGACAAAAGTCGATAAATAAATAAAAAAAAAAGAACTGTGTTTTAGTGATATTTATACACTTCTTTAATTACTTTTTCAAATTACCAGGTTAGTCTGTCATAACTAGCATTATATCAAGACAACTCTTAGAGTATGAGGAGTAGTGATGATTGTACCAGTAGTAGTAAAAAGCATTAGGTATAGTAAAAAAAAGGTATAATGAAACTTTTAAACTCAGGTTCTAGAGGAAGACAAACAGTGCATGCATTTGTGTCACTACAAGCAATTCTGTTCCATGTCACCTAAAGCATTCAACTATTAGTTACAACAGTGACGCCTACACTTATGGAGATGTCTCAGTTTATGGATTGATGCCACTTTTTGGTTGGACCGCTCTTAGCTTTCTTTCCAGTTAATTGTTCGATTGGACCAGTTGTTCTCAACAACTCTATTTAAAACAACTCCATACTAAAACAGTATATCTGCAGTTCAGTATTTCATGTGTCAGGCTCTACTCTATCACCCTCCATTATATGTGGTGTTTATCTCAAGTTTTTTTTTGCTGAACGTATATATATGTTTGCGCTGACTAAAATTTTCGAATAAACCAGTAATTTCCTCTCTTTGAATACCAGCTTGATAGTATGAATTCGGTGAGATTACAAGTTTACGGCTTACTTTGAAGTGTATAATGAAGCTGTTAATTAGATACTAGGGAGAATAACAATTCAACTACATTTACACCAGTAGTCTAATTGTACTTCAACTGTTAATATTTATCATTACGTCTATGACAGTTCATAAACAGTTTTAAACTTTTATATACCTTCCAAATTTTACTTCAATAGAAACAATATCTTATACTTATGTTCAATTTTTTGACATCCTATCTAACTTAATTATCTAGATTCTACCTAAACGTTGAATATTATTTTAATTCTTGAAATATACCATACACTGTCTTTATCGGCACTTGAACTAGTGATATGGAGTGAATCACTTGAGCGTATCGACCGCTTCACTTATCTCGGGAGTATCTTCAGTGTTGATGGCCTGGTATGTGACAAAGTCTTAGCACGGATACAGAAGGCTCGACTGGCTTTTGCTAACTTGCGTCACTTATCTAGTAGGCGAGATATCCGTTTGCTGACTAAAGGATGAGTATACTGCGCAGTAGTTCGTTTCGTCCTACTTTATGGCTGTGAAACATTGCCAGTCAGAGTAGAAGATATTCGTAGGTTACTGGTTTTCGATCGTAGGTGTCTCCGAACCATTGCTTGTGTATCGTGGGATAACCGAGTAGGCACTGCTGTTGTTAGGAAACGAGTACTAGGTGGGGACGGCAGATGAATAGATAAAGTACTGAAACTTCGTTTTTTGAGGTGGTTAGGACATGTGTTACGTATGCCTAACCACCGACTGCCTCGTCGAGCTATGTTTTGTGGTGTAGGAATAAGTTAGAAGAAAGCTAGGGGTGGCCAGACCGAAATATGGCAGAAACCCGTGAAGTCGCTGACAAGTAGACTGAGTCATGTCGGTAGGTGTCGACTACCTGGTTAGGGTCCGCGGTATGATAGTAATCGATGGTTAGAGATCCTGGATGACATGGCTCAAAACCGATTGCAATGGCGCAGGTGCATTCATTCTTTGTGTTCTCTCAAATCCTAACCTTCTTAATTCCTCATCACTTTATCTTTCTATTTTTAAATTTATTTCTATATATATATGGTATATGAATTAACAATTACATCTCGTTTTAATGTGGTATGGCAACTTGAACTGATGTACGTGCGTACGTACAAAGTTCTACGTTGCTGTTGATTGTCGACTGACCATACACCGTTAGTGTTGTATTATTAAAAATTAACTTATTCTATTATGAGTTCAGTTTAATATTTTAATTTTATACTTCATTATCTATCAAGATTGTTGCTACACTATTACTATTCTGAATAAACAAATTTTGTTAGTCTTATAGTTTGTGTAAAATTAATTTACATTATTTTCTAATATTATTTTATTTTAATTTAATTTTTTTAGTTTGATAATATGGGTGAAACATCCCAACCGAAACAAATACCAACAACAACACCAACAACTAATCATGAAAAATTAATTGAATCTCAACTCATAAAAACTGCTCAAATATTAGAAGATACATTAGATGAACAAATTAATCGTTTAGATAATTTAAATGATGATGATTTAGAAGCTATTCGACAACTTCGAATTAAACAAATGAAAGATGAATCTAAACAACGTTCTGAATGGTTAGCTTTAGGACATGGTGTTTATTCTGAATTATCAAATGAAAAAGAATTTTTCACTGCTTGTAAAACATCAACATTTGGTCTTGTTTGTCATTTCTATCGTGATTCAACATTTCGTTGTAAAATTTTTGATAAACATTTAAGTTTATTAGCTCCAAAACATTTAGAATGTAGAATGGTGAAAATTAATGCAGAGAAAACACCATTTTTAACACAACGATTAAATATAGTAGTTATACCAACTTTAATTCTTGCTAAAAATGAAAAAGTATGCCATCGTCTAGTTGGCTTTGATGAACTTGGTGGTCATGATGAATTTTCCACAGCTATGCTTGAATGGCGTTTAGCTGTAGCTAAAGTAATTAAATATTCAGGAGATTTAACAATTCCACCAGATATGCAAAAGAATAAAAAGTCGACAAACAGTAATTTATCAAATTTGATAACAAAACGACATGAAAATAAATCCATACATAGTAAGTGTTTTAATGAACATAGTGATGATGAAATTAGTGATTAGTGTTATTTTTGGTTGTACATTTCTGTCTATCTATCTGTCTGTCTGTCTGCCTGTCTGTCTGTCCTCTGTCTGTCTGTCCTCTATCTATGTAATTAATGCATTATCTATTGTTGTTGAAATCATTTGTACGCACATTCACAGATCATATTTTCTGTGAGTTTTTTTTTCTGACCTTAATTAAATAATACAATCTGTTCAACGTCAAGACGAAAGAATAAGGAAAGAATACAGCTTCTGAAGGTTGATTCAAATCTTTTTTTTTTGTAATAGAGAAACACCTTTGTGAATATTGTGCTCACATATCCTTTTTTTAACTTCCATTTCGCTTGATACTCTTTTATTTAAAATTTATGCAGTTAAAATATGAGTAATTTCATTTATCTGTTTTAGTTCTTGTTCCCGCTTTCTTAATTAAAATTGTTTCTATCACATCATAGACAATTTATTCATTGTAACTTATCAAGTAAATGGCAAATGGATTGTACAAAGAAAATACTTTTTCGTGTACAAATATTTTTGATCATAAATATCAAGATTAATTACAACTGATAAACTGGATTACATTGTACAAGAGTGTGTTAGTATTTGAGTAATGATTGTGATATTAGTATTGTTGTTCGACGTTTATCTAATCGGTTAACAAACTGTAACACAAATCCATAAATTCACTGACGACTGGATTAAGTCATGTTAGTAGTTGTAGACTACCTGGTCAGGGTTCATGAGACAATAGTAACCGGTGATTAGAGACTTTAAATGGCATAGTACAAAATCGTTTTTAATGTCGCAGGTTCATCCATTCTTTGTATTCTCTCAAATTTTCATCTTCTCAGTTTCTTATCATCTTTATCTTGTTCTTTTTAAATTAATTTCATTGGATTATACTTTTTGAATAATATCTTCGGACCCTAATCCTTCCGATTACTGCCAATATTTCTACTACATCTGTAGTGAACGAGAACACAGGTGAGGCAACCGAATTGTATTTAAGAAAAATTACAGAGTTACTCAGTTAAATAGGAAAACCATATCGTAAATCGTTAATTTGCAAAATATCAGTCCATCATCTCGAACTGGACTGTTCCTGTTGCAAAACATCAATCCATTGTCACTATTCATGCGTTTCATACAAATTCCATTGTGTTCTAACTGTTCCTTTCTTGATCTTCCCCCATCTCCTGCTGCCAGACATTACGTTGACACTCACGTCATATACTACTTATAAGTAGCTCGCACCACTCATCTACTACTATGGGATTTGAATTGACAATTGCATGTCTGTGCTAATGTGGTGTACGTACTTACGAAGTTCTACGTTGTAGCTGACTGACTGATATGTAGTACAGCACTCGTATGTTAATTTAACCGCTATTTATAGATCAATTCATAATTGTTTTTCTTGTTCAAATTTGTCGTTGTTTTGGACAATTCATAGGAGATTGGCAAAAATTCAGTTAAATCTCTCAATTCATATGCTTTTTTAATATAAGGTTTATTAGAACTGTATAATTTAGTTATTGTCATTTAGTTGTCAACTTCGGATATTTTGGGTAGCATTTTATATTTAAACTAGATTTAAACAAAGTGACTACATGTCAGCAATTACGTACATATTTTGTACTCCTCCACGATGTGGGCAGCCGGGAAGTGACAGCAACACGCGAGACCAACTTGGTCACAAACAAATCCTTCCTACATCCCCTAACATCTCTCTTATCTCCACGACTAACTCTTCTCACATTCCTTTATCACCCCGTACCGCTAATGACTTCTCGAATCATATCCTCCATTACCGCTAATACTTCTACTATCGCTACCACTATGAGATTTGAAGTGACAGTTGCATCTCTGTGCTAATGCGGTATGGCAACCTGAACTGATGTACGTACGTACGAAGTTCTACATTGTAACTGACTGACTATTCTGTACTAGACTATAGGTCATTTTGCGTTTAGCGTTAAAGATATTTAGTGGTGATCGAGTCCAGATTGACTATGATCACCACTAAATAATCATTACTATCCTGTCACAAATTTTAGAAATAAATCCAGGGTTGAGAAGTTATTTGAAGGAGAAAGTAAGCGTTACATTGAACAGCAATTTATGAAAGATGGCAGCAACGCGATAAAGAACGTTGCGCGCAAGTAAGTGTTTTTGGTACAGTTAAACAAAACGAGTACAATCATAAATGTTTCTTTTAACCAATCGCGTTTTGTACGTAGAAGTGTTCCACTACAGATATATGACTGGGTAAATTAAAGCAAATGAACATGAATTTGGTGTGTAGATAATTTTTTAATTCCTTAATGGCTTGTTTTGTTCTTAACTAGATACCATATTTGTCATCACAGGAGAGTCAGAATATGATTTATAGGAACAGCTAAAAAGCAAATAATCAGCAATTTGTCTACATTTCCCTGTGGTTCCGTCCGTTCTAAAAAATTTTAAGTATGCATTTAGTCTAAACATGTGCACTTTGAATGTTCATGCTGAATATGTTTTTGATAAAGAATTCTGGACTGTAGATATTCACCATTCATACGTTTATAATTTTTAGAAATGATCTTGCTTAATCATCTGGGCATTAAGTACACACTGATGTCATTCATATTTTTAGTTCTAGGCTAAATTGCTAAAGAAAATTTCACCAACTACAATGACATGCCCACTATAAGTGTCCTTTTATGATGCTAACCATAAATAAGTAATATAATTCCAGAAGAATAATAGATATTTCAGAAAAATAAACTGCGAAATTAAATTACATTTAACATTTTGGGGTGAATAAATAACAGATGAAACTGCAAATTGTTTTTAACCATGTTAATTAACATCTGAAATCATAGATTCCAATTGCCCTATTGGCTTCAAACTAGAAGTTGTTTGTGCAATTCAACACCATTCAGTTAAGTAAAATATCGTTTTCTTCAGTATCTTTTCGTCATTTAAACATCATTCACGTTATCGATATATACATATAATGCTTAGTTCTCTGTAGTTTTGCGCCTCAAATATTTGACTACATACATATGTTATTTGACATTTAGTTGTTATTTTCAGGCATAGTTTTGGAGGTTTGTGTTTTTACACATTTGAAATCATCAACCAATCATTGTTAGACCACCATTAGAAACCTGGAAGCACTGGACAGCTGTTTCGTCCTGGTATGAGACTCATCAGTAGTGCGCATCCACGACTCCTGCATCTGGCAAGATTCAAACCCAGTACATTCAGTCTTGCGCGTGAACACCTAACCTTTGGGCCACTTGGCCGGCATCCAACGGTGTTAATGTCTAACTCTGATTGATCTACGGATTTTGCGCGACCCCATCCATTTGTCTTTGGTAGTTACTGCCTATACCCGACATGGTTTAACTCCATTGGTCGTCTTCTCAACTAGAACTCCGAGAATTTCCGTAGATCAATCAGAGTTAGACATTAACACCGTTGGATGCCGGCCAAGTGGTCCGATGGTTAGGCTTTCGCGCGCAATATCGAAGGCCTCGGGTTCGAATCCTGCCAGGTGCAGGAGTCGTGGATGCGCACTGCTGATGAGTCGCATACCAGGACGAAACAGCCTTCCAGTGCTTTCAGGTTTCTAATGGTGGTCCAACAATGATTGATTGATGATTTCAAATTTAGTTGTTAATTGAGAAGGCATAAATCAATTGATGGATAGACTGTCAATCCTTCATGATTTTCCTATAGTTCTGCAGTTAATGGTCGTTTTTATCGTCATATATATGAGCGAACAGTAGGAATCATACCTCTTGTCAAAGTTCATCTATTTAAGCACATTGATTCTTGTACTATAGAGCACGAAAAACGAGTTATATCACATTAATGAAGCGAATATATAGTCAGCGATTAAACGAATGAAGGCTAGTACAATGAACAGTAAGTGAGCTGAGGTACATTTCAGTTACAAATATAGCCAAGATAGGCCTCTCTCAGTCAATAAGCCCCATTTCAATTTTGTAAAGCAGGATTGTCACTAGTTTTCAGTGTGATCATATCTGAAGATACAGAATTTCATGATTTATAAGACCCATAAACTGAGAATTCATAATAGACTAATCGATATTAGTCCTGTTTTGTCGTTCTTCACATCGCAGTGTTATATTATCACAATCTGACTTCTGATATTTTCTACTGTGTCAGTAGTAATGCGCAGTATAGGGCAGATTCTACCTTCTTCCATTTGCATCATCTATTTATGTTAACGAATGTACTGAATATCTGTGTACCATGATCACTCACTCATAGCTGACTTATTTTATCTTATTGTTCAGTAACGTGGTTAGATTGATGAATATATATATGTACGGTGTTAAGTAGGATATATGTTTGATTGACTTCATTATCGTTGTATCATAATAGTAGAGTCAACTATAGGCATTAAAGTGTTAGGCCTCTAGCTTCAAGTGAAACACAACCGAATTGTATGAAACTATACAAAACCTACGCAACATCCTAAAGCAAATAAACGACTGAATCACTGTATGCAACTCCGACAATAAAAGCAATTCAACATAGGAAAGAAAACATTCACAAGTTTTATTGTTCAAACGGTATGCTAGTCACGTTGTGACTACTTTCATAGAAATATTTTGTCTATTTTTTTAAACAACCAAATCATCTTGTGGATATGTTTGTGCCTATTTAACTTCGGCTACAGAACAAATAAAAGAGCTAACTACATGGTAATATCAGGAGTTACATTTTGCGTCCATACATGAAACATTGCAACTTCTCGGAGGTTGGGAACAGTTTGCAACCATATCATAGACATGAGTTTGGAGTCGTACTATGGTAATAACTTATATTTCTTCGGATGTATTGAATGTTCACACGTTACACGTATACAGCAATCTCCAATTCTGTAACGGTAACCTCTTCAGCTACTTATTTTTTTTAGTCAACAAGCCTTGCTGTTATATTTTACAATTATCAAATTTTAGTCAACGGATTACTACTACGCCGATGTATAGAGAATACGTGGATTTTATCAATGAGTTCACATATACAGACGCGTGAAATTTAATTCACTGATCCTAAGCACTACTGAATAGCTGCGATAAATTTACATTCTCACTGCACACTATATCAGAACGATTAGTTTAGTGATAGTCTATCAAGGATACATAATCAGTCTCAACGATACCACATCATACCTTAAAACAGTGTATTAACCAATCAGGTTGAGCATATCTCCCACTAATGACAACAGTGCTTTGTTTCAGGACCAAAAAATGTACATAACTTTCCGTATACTCTCTTCACAGTTATTCTTTTGTACCTTTGATCATTCAACTAATACATTTTCGTCCAGTGATTTGTTTACCATGATGCCAACTTAAGTGTATACTGTTTTCACATTTTCGAATTATTCATAAATACAGTTATCACTTGTCAATTTATTCTACATACAAAGGTCTTGTGGTTTATCAGTACCATTTACTCTATTACGGTATTACAGATTGGTATTTCCTTTTCGACTGGATGAAACTTGACTCTATTCATCTTTCGCGATCTATTGAACTGTCAAATAAATATATGTTATTTCATACAT